AATTTTGGTCAATGACATGAGACAAAGTATATGTGAACTGCTGTATGAAAAGTGAATTTACTCTGTAAATCGTCACCCAAATCCTAATAAATAAAATAAAAAGTAATAATAATAAAATAAAAGTGTCAGGGTGAGAGTCTTCATTAGGGGACCAGACACTTGCTGAGAGACAGGAAAGATGGAGAGGGTCCTAAGGAATGCAGGGCAAAGAAGGGGAAGGAGGTAAAAGGACCATCTACCTGAAAGGATCCTTTTTATCCCTGTAATCTTCTTTGCTCTGAAATCTATTTTGCCTGGTACGAATGTGGCCACTTCTTTTAATTAGTGGTAGCGTGGAATGTTGTTTTTCATTCTCTTAATTTTACCCTATTTCTGTTGAAAATCTCTTTTCCCAAACTTTTCCTTTGAAATGATCTCTCTTTGTATTAAAGTGAATTTCTTATAGACACCACACAGTTGGATCTCTCTTTTCTGCCCAGTCTAACAATCTCTGCCTTTTAACTGGGTATTTAGACCATTTATAGTTTTTATGAGTATTGAGAGGAGCTTTGGTGGTGAAGTGGTTAAGGCATTCAGTTGCTAATCAGAAAGTTAGTGGTATGAACCCCCTGGCCACTGGACAGGAGGAAGATGAAGCAGTGTACTTCCATCAATATTTACAGCCCTGGAGATCGTGTGGGGCAGTTCTATTCTGTCCTATAGGGTCGCTATGACTCAGAATAAGCTCGACAGCAGTGAGTTTGGTTTATGGTTCTAAATATGGTTGGGTTTTAAATGTACCATCTTGCTATTTCCTTTCTTTTTTTCCCATCTGTTCTTTGTTATTTTTTCCCCTCTTTTTCTGCCTTCTTGCAGAGTATGTCTCGTGATTCAATTTATCTTCTTTATTAGATTAATAGGAGCTCTGGTAGCATAGTGGCTAAAGCACTTGACTGCTAACCAGAAGGCTGGCGGTTCAAACCCACCAGCTACTCCTTGGAAGGAAGGTTGGGCAATCCTACTTCTGTAGTGATACTGCCTGGGAAACCCCAAGGAGGGGTCGCTATGAGTCGGGGCCAACTAGACAGCACATAACAACAACAACAACAACGAGATTAATAGCCGTAACTGTTGGTCTTTTTTTTTTCTGTAGGGCTTACAGTACACATTTTGGCATCACCGGGGCTCCTTTAACTCATCACAGTCAAGCTCCATGTGATACTGTACTCCTCCTTCTGTAGTATATGGCCCTTACAACAGCATACATCTGTCCTCTCTTCCCAGCCTTTTCACAATTTTATTATGCATTTTACTTTCACATATATTATTAAGCCCACAATGCACTGTTATTTTTGCTTTAAATTAGGGAACTGGGCTTGAACTACAGCATAAAGGAAAAATCCAGCCTGCAGCCTGCTTCATTATAACCTTGGAGCTAAGAATTTTTTTTTTTTTTCTTTTTGCATTTTCAAGGGTTGTAAAAACAAACGTACAAACAAAAAAGAATATGTAGCAGAGAATATATGTGATTCATAAAATCTAAAATACTTACTATTTGGCCCATACAACAAAATTCTGCCTATCTTTGCTGTAAGCATTTCATTGTCTTATATAGTAAATAATTGAGAGAAAAAGGGGTGTTTCAATTTTTCCATGAAGTTACCATTTCCAGTGCTATTTATTTTGTTGTAGACCCTTGTTCCCCTCTGATACCACTTTCCTTCCATCTAAGATCTCTAACATTTTCTGTAGTGCAGGTCTGCCAGCAACAAAGTCTTCTGGCTCTTATATGTCTAGAATGTCCTCATTTTCCCTTCATTTTTCAAAGATATTTTTTGCTGAGTAAAGAATTCTAGAATGACAGGGTTGTTTGTTTTTCTTTCAATACTTTAAAGATGTTGCTATACCTTATTTTAGCTTGCCCAATAAGAAATCTGCTGTGATATCTTTGTTTCTATCTGTAATGTGTCTTTTTTCTCTGACTACTTTTAAGATTTTCTCTTTATTGTTGGCTTTAAATAAATTCCTTTACAATATGCCTTTCCTCATGCTTTTTTGTGCCTGGAATTTGTTGACATTCTTGGTTCTGTACATTTGTAATTTTCATCAAATTTGGGAAATTATGGCCATTATTTCTTCAAATATTTTTCATGTCTCCCCAGCCACCATTTCTGCTCTCTTTCGTGAACTTCAATTACACGTATTGATGCTATCTGTCCCACAGCTCGCTGATTCTCTCTGTGTTTCATTTCAGATAATTTCTGGCAGTGTCTTCAAATTCACTGATATTTTCTTCTGTGATGTCCAATCTACCATTAACCACATCTGATGTATTTTCCATCTCAGACATTGTGATTTTCATCCCTTTAAGTTCAATATGGGTCTTTTAAATATATATTTTATGTTTTTACATAACATGTTCAATTTTTTTCTCTAGGTTCTTGAACATACAGAATATAGTTATAATAAATATTTTAACATCCTCACCTATTAATTCTACCATTGTGTTATTTCTGGACCAATTCAGATTGGCTTTTCTCTTTAATGTAGTTTCTCTATGCTTGCTTCTTTGTATGCCTGGTAATTTCTGATTGCTTGCCAGACATTGTGAATTTTACCTTTTTTGGTGCTGGATATTTTTGTATTCCTATAAATAATCTCGAGCTTTGTTTTGAGAACATGGCTAAATTACTTGGGAACAGTTTTACCCTTTTGGGTCTTAGTTACACCACCTCTGACATTCTCTCTCCCTGTCCATTAAAACCTTAGTGCATGCCTTTATTGTCACATTTATAACATTTACAATCTGTTCTGTATCTATAACCACATTTATTTTCATCTCAAATTCAGAGGTCACACCAATAATCTACTTTGTTTTTTAGAATAGTTTCAGGGTTACAGAAAAAGTGTGTAGAAAGTCCCTGTGTGACCTTCTCCCTTGCACAGAGTTTCTCCTGTTAGTATTGTTGTTGTTGTTAGGGGCCATGAAGTCAGTTTCGACTCACAGCAAACCCCATGTACAATAGAACGAAATACTGCCTGGTCCTGTACGATCCTCACAATATTTGCTGTGCTTACGTCCATTGTTACAGCCACTGTCAATCTATCTCATTCGGGGTCTTCTCCTTTTTCGCTGACCCTCCACTTTACCAAGCATGATACCCTTCCCCAGGGACTGATCCCTTCTGACAACATGACAAAAGTAGGTGAGATGAAGTCTGGCCATCCTTGCTTCTAAGGACCATTCCAGCTGCACTTCTTCCAGGACAGATTTGTTTGTTCTTCTGGCAGTCCTGGTATTAACACCTTGCAATAGTATGGTACATTTGTTACAACTGATGAACCAATAGGACCAGGCAATATGTCATTTCATTCTGTTATACATTAGGTCACCATGAGTGGAGCCAACTTGACAAATATTCTTCAAAAAACAAGAATGGTTTTCATTAGAGTTCACTCTTTGGGTTGTACAGCTCCAAGTTTTGACAAATGTATTATGCATTATGTCTTGTGTCAGGCCAGTATCCTACAGAGTAGTTTCACTGACCATAAAACACTCTGTGAAGCAGGCCTTGGTAACAATGTCATTCAATGTCCAAACTGATCAGCCTCTGGGGGTTCTGGAGGAAATGTTTGTGAATGTTGGTCCTCATTCAGCCTGGCTGGTATGCAGCTATGTGAACCATTGCCACTCCTTCCACGCACTCACCTGATAAACGTGGGATACAGTTCAGCGTTCACTAGGCAGACCATTTGGAACACAATGGTGATTCCCATTCGGCCAATGCAAGCTACCAGGATATTTAACCAGTGTAGACCTGTGGGGAGACACAAAGAGGGTATGGGAGAAGTGGAGACGTACCTCCCCAAGTTATGACAAGAAGCTACATTTGGTGGTGGTTGGAGTTTTAGAGCTGGAAGTGCTCATCATTTTATCAAAATGTTTACTTTTGGGCATTTGATAAAATCCAACACCCATTCCTGGTCAAAACTCTCAGCAAAATAGGAATAGAAGGGACATTCCTCAACATAATAAAGGGCAT